GGGGGGGTCTGTCCCTTCTTACGCATTATTTGTATCTTTGCCTGTATACTACCATGTTTCCCCAAAAGTAAGACATCCCCTGAAAATAAGACTTACAGTTTTGCCTCTTGCTGAAATATAAGGCATCCCCCTGAAAATAAGACCTCCCAGAAAATAAGCGCCGCCCCCCCCCATAAGGCCCCCAGAAGCTACCGTAACTCTGGATTGCAGTGGCAGGTGCTACAGCGCAGCCGGAGCAGACAGGAAGTGTGAGTAAATGTACCATAGATTATGAGTAAATGTACCATAGATTGTTGTACATGGAAATAATGGTAGTAACAAGAAATTCGTGATACTGTAGGATTCAATTTGTCTGGCTATGCTGGTTTGTGATGACAACTACTACCGTACCGTATACAGGTAATAAATTTCCTTTTTTTGTTGTTCAACAATAAATGTGTACCATATTCTTCTTCATGGAAAAATAAGATATCCCCTGAAAATAAGACCTAGCGCATTTTGGGGAGCAAAAATTAATATAAGACACTGTCTTATTTTCAGGGAAACAGGGTATTATGTTTTTATACCTTAACCTTTGTGTGATTTGAGGGGTTTATGGTTTTGTTTTCTTCGGGGTCTCCCAGCTGTGAAGCACAAGAGGAGTGAATGCATAATGAGAATAACTGATACAAGGGTTATAGGAAATGCAGGGATTGGGGGTGGGGTGGTTGATGGGGAGGGTAAGGGAGTGGATGGTAAAGACTGGATGGGGTTGGGGAGCATTAGAATGGATTGTGGTTGCATAACTCATCTTGCAGGCGATTTAAGCATGGAGGGGTATTCTAAAAAATTTGATGTGGGGGTGATTGTACAATTCTCCTTGATATGATTGAACTATTGAGTTACACAATATGTATAAACTACTTGCCAATAAAACTGTTGAAATACATTAATAAAATGTTCTATGTAGCCAGAAAAAAGATGGAAGGAAAAAAAGGAAACATCGCAGTCCAGTGCAACTCAAGTCCATAAATCTGATACTTGTCCATAAACTCCTCTTCAGACTCAGCCAGCCACATGCAATGATGCAGAAGGTACGATTATCACAGGCCAGTGGGTGCAAAGTCTTGTGGATCTCAGGGCCGTGGATGCATCTCCAGGATTCTGGCAGCAACCAGGATCATCAGCCAGACTGAAGGTGAAGGCAGAGGAGACGAGTGGGGGCGGTTCCCAGGGTCATCCTTCTGAGAAGGCCACTCCCACAAGGAGGCACCATTTGGCTGTGACCTGATTGACAGGTTAAATACCACCCCTACACTTTTACCCTGTTTCCCCCAAAATAAGACAGTGTCTTATATTAATTTTAGCTCCCAAAATGCACTAGGCCTTATTTTCAGGGGATATCTTACTTTTCCATGAAGAAGAATATGGTACACATTTATTGTTATTGTTTTATTAAAAGAGACCTCGCACCTCCTGTCTGCTCTGGTTGCGCTGCGGCCAACAGTGAGCTGCATGGCGGCACCTGCTGCTACAGTCCAGAGTCCAGAGTTACGGTAGCTTCGGGAGGCCTTATTTTCAGGGAGGTCTTATTTTCGGGGGGTGCCTTATATTTCAGCAGGAGACAAAACTGTAAGTAGGTCTTATTTTCAGGGGATGTTTTACTTTCGGGGAAACACGGTATGTACCTTCAAGTTGACATGAATTTATGTAACTACCACAGCCATTTTAATCACATTAAAAAAATGTTGATAATGTCAACTTAGCGATGTTTTGTTCAACAGCCAAATCAGACAAACACCAACCTGAGTCAAATTTTGCCATTTCTTTCTTTCTTTCTTTAACTCTATGATGGTTCTCACCATTTCCCTCTTAGCTTTACTGCGGGTATGAGTAAATTTCTTTGGAGCATGGTTAAGATATTTTACACGAATCAAGTGCCAAAAAAGCACAGTGATGAATTTTTTAATGTACTAAGACAAGCACTATATGTTCCCTCAGAAGGGTGGTTTAGACTCAAGTGTCCCCCCTTTCCGTCTGACAAGAAAAGTCTCACTATTCTAGTCAAATGGAGGACCAAACCCAGCCCCAACTCACTGCCATCACACCACTTCATAGCAACCCTGTAGGACAGGGTAGAACTGCCCCTGTGAGTCTCCAAGACTCCAACTGTTTAACGGAGTAGAAAGCCTCGTCTTCCTCCCTTGGAGCTGCTGGTGGTTTCTAACCGCTGGCCTTGCCAATTGCAGCCCAAAGCAACCACTACGCTACCAGGGCTCCTAACTGGAGCACAGTGAGGCTTACTGATCAAGACAAGTGGAGATTCTGCTTCCTGGAAGGTGTATGTATGTACACATTGGGTGAGCTATTTAATCCCACAAAGAGTAATTTTTTCTTTTTGCATTTTAAACATGCTTAATGAATATTCAGGAGCTCCTTGGTAGCCAAAACACACTTGGCTGCTAACTAAAGTGTTGGTGGGTTGAGTCTACCCACAGGCATGCGGAGAACTACTTCCAAAAAAATTCAGCCACTCAAAACAAACAAACTCAATATCATCAAGTCAATTCCACTCAAAGTGACCCTGCAGGACAGAATAGAAACCTGTAGGTTTCCCAGACTGTAACTCTTTCCAGGATTGGGAAGTCACATCTTACTCGAGCAGCAGTTCACGGATCTGAAGGGCTAACCTTTTGTTTACAGCCCAATGCAAAACCCACTGAAGCCACCAGGACTCCTCTAAAATCCTATAGTGTCTTGCTATTGTGACACACATGGGGTTGCCATGAATCAGCAAAATCTATGGCAACTGGTTTAAAGAATAGTCAGTACACGACTGAAAACTTGAATTTCTTCGTACAGTGACTCAATGTCCTATTCACTTTTTCTGGGAGAAAACAGAAGTACACTTACTGGGGGAAATACAGCCTAAGAAGCCAGAGCACCCAATCATTGTCAAAGTTTAATCAACTCAAACCTGTGGGTTCACAGGGATGCAGTATGTCCTGTCCTTTGGAGCAGGCAGTAAGGCAAACAAAAAGTTAACAGTCAGGCAAAAAGGACATTGCAGGACTGTTTGGGCCTGTGACTATTTTTGTACTATGATCTGCACCCTGCTCATTCCGAAATACATTTTGATTTCAAATAGATCAGACCTGGGTGATGTGGTGCACTGCATCGTCCCAGGTTTGGGGCCGCTCTTGGATTGGTCTGACTCCTGAAACCTATTCAGAGATGTCCTGTCTTTCCTTCGGAGCAACAGTTTCTTTACACTCCAAAGCACCAAATCCTAGAAGCGCTCGGCCTCGCTCCCAGCAACAGGCTCGCTCCCAGGTGCTGGCGCGCTAACGTGCTCAAGCCCTGACTTGGGAGCGCGGCGGGTC